AACTTGAAGATAGATTCAAAACTCTGTCTATCATTTTCTCCTGGTGACAGCTATTGGCAGATCGACATTATATTTTACTTTTTTTGTTTTGTTTCCTTGTCGTTCCTTTTTCTTTCTTTCTTTTTGACATTTTACTAGGGGACCATCACTGAAAGATGTTCAATAGAAGGAAACTATATCCAAAGCGAAATAAATTGGAATGGCTTTACCATGTGGGTTTTTGACGTAACCAATCCTCAATAGAATAAATGAAAAGGAGAGTTAAAGATTTAACATAGAAATACTGTTCGAGAATCAGTTAGCCAAATCCCTAACTTGCCTGAATAGACAGTTTTTATGTGTTGAATTAAATAAAAGAATCAAAATATTCGTTCAGTCCATTCCCCTCGTTTGTATTTCAGGTGATTTCAACCGATCAGTTCTTTCCTGGATTATTACGCCTTATTTATTTTATAGCGAAGAGGTAGGTAAGGGTTGGAAAGACAACATGACGGTTTAGGTTTGGCAGAAATATTGGATAAGTTGTGGGTGGAGATGCCTTTTGTAATTCTTGTTTCTTTTTCAAACCAAAATCGACGAAAACAATGACTTTACCAGCTCAGCTCAGAAGAACATGACATGGGAAAGACACGTGCAAACATCGGGTGATGTTGTTGATATATTGCCCGTCGAATCCATCAGATAACGTGAGTCAAAATCCACAAGTAAGTAGAGAGGGGTGTTCGTCTGTTCTTGTACAGTTCAAAATAGAAAAGATTATGGAAAAGAAACCATGAAAAATGCTTCACCAATCTTACGTAGAAATGATTACAAAAAAGATAAAGATATGCCAAGGACAAATGCGAATGGATTACGTTGAATGGTTTGAAACGTTGAGTCAGTCAAACTAAATCCATTTGGGCTGACAAACAAAAATATACAAACATAGTATCAACTTAGAACCGACTTTGTTACCTCAAATAACAGAACACTACTTCTAAATTTTATAACGGTGGAACCGAAAAAGAATGATACACTATTCTTTGCCAGACCAAAGGAACCTGTGAAAATTGTTTAATCTGGCAAGCCGTATAAATACAACCTCGTCTGGCAAATTTATGATATCAGCAGATATATACCTTTTAAGAATTTCGAGAAAGTAAACGCTTTGCTTTATTTCTCGAGATCAACGGAAAAGGACAGCAGTGGACTTAAAGTTTGGAAATTACCGAAAGCTACATAGAAACCTTACCTTGAGTTGCTTCCTGAGAAAGGTAATTTATCTTCTGCGAGGGTGAAAAGAAGTGCAAGTTGCTTTCTAGTGTCTAACTCACAAAATGACATGAGATCGATGTGTCAAAACTTGAAGTACAGTCATCATAAACTAAAAATTATTTGAATTTATAATTACACCGTTTCTTCACCTGCGACAAATCCTTAGCCAAATAAAACTTTCGATAAAAGAAGACACAAATGAAAGAACTTTTTTTCGCTTCAAAAGTGTCAGTTATAAAAATATATTGACGTAAGTGTTCTTTCGGCCACCTAACACTATCAAAGTAGAAAAAAGACTAACTTTACTTGACAGTGAATTATGGAAAACACATTTTAGGAAAAAATTCAGTTCATGGTGTGAGCGCAATTGCAATTTTATTAAAGAGACACGAATAAATATTAGCGGCTGCGTAAAGTCCCTCCAATAAAAACGCGTCTAAAGTGCGTACTTAAACTTTCTCTAAATGAGCACTCTTAAGTTTTGTGAGGTGGAAACTAAGTTTCGTAATGTGCATATTTTATTTTTCTAAAATTGCAAACTTTAGGAAACTTAACGTACGCGAAAGTTTGCAAATATATGATCCTAGTTACAAAAGGAAATGTTTGCAATTTAAAGCTACCTGAACTGCTAGAACTAAATTAAATGAATAGGGTGATTTTATTTAATTTAAGATCTTAAGTGACTTTGCCCACCTGCTGATATTGATCCAGAGACAACACCTCATAGGGTGGGTGCGAGGTGTTTTTGTTTTAGCCATTAAGCTCAGTTCGGCATTATACACTTAATTACTGGTCCCCTGGGAATAGCTGGAGTTTAGCGCCCAAAGTCTCTTTTTCAAATTAAAGCCACTAAAACAACGCCTTTCTCAAGGCACACAAAAATTAGCACTTCAAACATTTTGTTAACTATTTTGGCTTTTATTGCTGACTGTCATCAGAGTTCTGGGACAAATCCTTAGCCAAATAAAACTTTCGATAAAAGACGAGACAAATGAAAGAACTTTTTTTCGCTTCAAAAGTGTCAGTTATAAAGACATATTGACGTAAGTGTTCTTTCGGCCACTTAGCACTATCAAAGTAGAAAAAAGACTAACTTTACTTGACAGTGAATTATGCAAAACACGTTTTTGTAAAAAATTCAGATCAAGGTGTGAGCGCAATTGCAATTTTATTAAAGAGACACGAATAAATATTAGCTGCTGCGTAAAGTCCCTCCAATAAAAACGCGTCTAAAGTGCGTACTTAAACTTTCTCTAAATTAGCACTCTTAAGTTTTGTTAGGTGGATACTAAGTTTCGTAATGTGCATATTTTATTTTTCTAAAATTGCAAACTTTAGGAAACTTAACGTACGCGAAAGTTTGCAAATATATGATCCTAGTTACAAAAGGAAATGTTTGCAATTTAAAGCTACTTGAACTGCTACAACTAAATTAAATGAATAGGGTAATTTTATTTAATTTTAAGTTTTTAGGTGACTTTGCCCACCTGCTGATATTGATCCAGAGACAACACCTCACAGAGTGGGTGCGAGGTGTTTTTGTTTTAGCCATTAAGCTCAGTTCGGCATTATACACTTAATTACTGGTCCCCTGGGAAATAGCTGGAGTTTTGGCTTTTATTGCTGACTGTCATCAGAGTTCTTTATCAAGAATGAAGTGCTAAGTTTCAAAGAGTGTTTAACGCGCGAGAACACCTTGAATGTACAGCTTGACTACCCCACGCCAGTTATCGACTAAACTTATGCTTTACAAGTAAGTCTTAAGACGAAACGAAAAGTTGAAATTTGAATTTATTAATTAAGCAATACCACTCTACGATTCCTTTCTTTAAATTGCAGTTTTCTAATTAATTAACCTTTTATGTCTTAATTAGATGAAGTTATCTATTGTGCAAGAACCCAACACAGCGTCAAACCTCAACTGCATGAAAAAATTCTAGCTTTCGACAGCAAAACATGTTTGTTCTCGGTTAAAAGTGAAAACTGCCCACGACCACATAAAGCCTCTCGTTTGGATTTCAAGATAATTCTACTTGCAACTGGAATCACGCATTTTGGAAGATTGCCAACTTTTGGCATGTTCATTTAGATAACCCTGACTATGACTGGTTATGTTTCGTTCTGCCATGTTGCCATGTGTAGGTCTTTTGGTTTATAACTAGAGGAAAAGATGATGAGGACTTAACATCTTCCAAAAACATTAAGCCAATGTGCGTAAAAAGAATAGAAAAGAAAACCCCAAAAAATACTACTAATAATAGAATAACGAAAAAACAAAATTGAAAAAAAAAAAAATTAAAACAAAAAACAAAAAAAAAAGGAAAAGACAAAACATTAACGACAACCAGAACCAATCAAACAAAGATGCAATTAATTTTCCTAAACAAGGGGAAAATACCTTTCAAGAAATTTTGATGCTTTCCCTGTAAAATTGAAGCAGAAATTACATTCAATGCCCCTTCCCTACAGGAATTGTCCCAGATTTATTCAAAATAGCTAAAGTTACCCCTGTTTTTAAAGAGGGCGACCAAAGAGGTCTAAAATGCATCAAAGTGAGCCCTCGTACTTTAAGTATGGCCTTATTTTCGACAAGCGTATGGTAGACCCTAACACATTCATGTCATATCCTTACGGCTACACCCAAACATTGGACGAGGTGGACATGGAGAATGTGGACACTCTGATGGTTTTATGTAACTAGCTTTTGTAAAGAATTTTGTTGTCGTTGCCGTTGCTGTTGTTTGTCAATAAGCTTGCTGTTGTTATAGTTTGTATATAGTACGTCCCGGTGACAAAGAGTCGAGGTGCCACCTTGATGATACCCACCGTGTAGTTTCTGCGCGATCAGGGATTTTTTCTAAACGAGTTAGGGTAACCAATCCCTTGGGAGTGCCCGATCACGCAGAGATTGCAGGTTTTAATGCTCTTCTTAAGAGAAGGGGACTGGGGAAGCCCAACTGTAGGTACTTTAATTCATTTCTTTCCTCTGATTGGATAACGTTGATGTCATCGTACCATGATGCTTCGGGATAGCCTCCCTATAGTCATACTTCGAATCCAAGTCACTTAGTCAAGATGGTGGCAGACCGTATGGACTATGTTGTTTGGGGACAGGACACTGTAAGTATCTGTTTATCGATTTTTGTATTGATTTTTTGACATTCAACAAAAAAAGATGGTTGTCACGGTTTTCGGCGTGAGAAGGATCACGCCACTCACAACCATAGGCTTGGGTGCCTGGCGTTATTCTCTCTCCCTGCCATCTTGGATTACGGTAAGCACCGCCATCTTGTTTCATGTGCGCTTTTATCTTGAATCCTTAATTCGACTCTTGATTGGCTCTTGGACACTTCAAAATCAACTCCGTAACAAATTTAGTCACGTGGATGAAGTCTGGCCCTGTGATTGGTCGACAGCCATTTTAATAAGATGCTTATGATATTTACTGCGCTGTGATTGGTTAGGGAGGAAAGGAGCTACCTATACAACTATCGGTCAATTGATTGATCGATTCGATTGCCATATTGCCGGTGCAATATTTTCTAACTATTGGACCGGGAAATATGCTGAATGATCCCCAGCGACCACTCTTAAAGTTTATGGCTTTACATTTTTGAAAGAATGAACTACACGTAAAAGAGCTTTTTGTTCTTAGAACTTTGTTTTCCTTTCTCTTTCTATTTTCCTCTTTTTTTTTTTTTTAAAACGTCAGAGGTGCGTCAACGCTCAATCGGCTCTCAGTCCGTATAAGTAAACTGAGAAACTCGTTTATTTGAAAGAACCGAAAGTATTTACACAAAAGCAACCGACTATTGTCTGATAAGTAAAATCCCCCGTAATAAAAAGGAAATTTTTTTACAGAAGTTCGACTGAGGTGGACGTTTTTAGTCGTATTGGCTGTAACTTCAAACTTTTCTACGCTATAGACTTCTACGAAAATGCAAATTTCCTCCAACCGGAGAAGTAAACTTAATTCGAGAGTCATTATGTGTAATTTTTTAGGCCATGGGACCTCTACTCACGAACTGAATCAACTCTGTAAGACCCGAAGTCTTGTTTGAATCTTTATCTGTACATGTGACTGGTTTGGCGGGGCTGATTCTGCAACGCTGGCGTGTGCAAGGAAACAGCGCTAGTATGTGCTTCCGAAAACGGTCACTCTGCCAGCTGTATAACACAGGATTTATAGCAGAATTGAGAGTGACCAAGACGATGCTGGTTGTGTGTACGGCTGAGTAAAGCGGCTGCCTGCTGAACGAAGAGAAGACGTAGACGACGATATTTGGGATCCAACAGATGGAGTAAATAACGCTGACCGTGACCACGAGCCGGGCGGTTTTCTTGCAAAAGTGCAACTTCTTTTGCTGTGCCATGGTCGACGTAGTTGTAGGGCGAAACCACAGCTTGTACACTAGCTTAGAATACAGGTAAATCATGACTGTGATCGGTAGAACGACATAAACAATGGCACCGAGGGGGCTGTGGAATTTAACGAAATTAGCAGTGGGCCATTTGAACAGACAAAATTCGCTGACGGGATCATAACGCGCGTACATGAAGAGAGGCATGTTCCATAAAAGAGCTAGCACCCAGTCTAGTACAACAATTCGCTTGAGCTTGGTAGTTGTTATCCTTTTGCGTTCATCGTAAGGGAATTTAATGGCGAGGTAGCGCTCTAGTGCGATGCAGACGAGGGAGAAAGTAGAAGCCAGCGCGCCGACCCAAACAAACGGCTCGCCGGTGATGAGCTGGCATACAACGTCGCCGGCTGTCCCTTTCGGGTGCGTAAATATCAGCTTAAAGATGTAGCGCGCCGCGATGAACAGGGCTACAGTCATATCAGCAACGGCTAAATTCACCAGGAGGTAGTTCATGGGGGTACGCATTACCCTGTTACGAAGAACGACCGCACAGACCAGGCTGTTGCCAACCAGGTCTGCGATCACCAGGAAGCAGAAAGCGGCGGTGATGCCTATCTGGGCTGCCTCTGAGTACTTGTACAGTGACATTTTTGTATCTGGTTTCTCGGTAAGCTGTGGGATAATATTAGTAATAGCTGTAGGATATTGTTAAATTGTTAAGCTCAGCTGATATGGTCCCTCCAGTTATTAAGCTACATGGATCTCAAGTAAATAGCAAGAACCGTTTCAAATTATACTTTTCCAATCATAATAGTAAATGAAGCCACAGTTGTTCATTTTGATGAAAGTGCTTCAAATTATGCCAAAATGCGTCTGTTTTACCGATTTTCAATTTGTTTTGGTCGAAAAATATATCATGTTTTTTTTGTTTAGGCACATTGAGCTGAACATTTAAACTTTATTTACGTCACTGTTGTGAAAATTACGTGATGTCCTTTAATTTGTGATTACGAAGCCGTGTCAGAATAATGATAAAGTGTACGTCGTTTGCCTAATTTGACTTTGTTTTCGTCGGGTAAGCGATCACTCACTCACTTATCCTCATCGGGCCAACGAGGACTCTTGAGGCCGGTCGGGTAAGCGATACCAATGAATGTATACAATCAAAAATATTGCTTCCCTGCTCAGGAATCATATCACATTTCCTGTACTCAGGGTGTAATAAAAGTTTAAAAGTGGAATATTTCATTTGAATCACATGAGGTGACACTCGTCTATAAGCTTAACAATTCTCTCAGATGGCAATTACTGCACGTTAAGCACAGGACAGAAGACTTTAAAAAGTCTGGAACAGTGTAACAACGAATAAATTATGTCGATGAAACTTCTCGTTTACTGGACACTAGGGTATGAAAGGAACACATTTCGAGGTCAACTCAATGGATTCCAGCAAAACAAATGTTCTTGTCACAGAAAAGCGACATTTTCAAACGTCATAATTGAGATCAGGTAACGAAAGCACTCTTTAAATAAACATAAGGGCTTGGAATTAACATCTATGGCACTACCGGATATTTAAGCTCCCTCGAGGCCCTAAGGAACCTGGAACAATATCTTTTGACATTCACATCTTTATCGTGGCTGACGAAGTTTGGTTCCCTGAATGGAACGAAATATTCCACTTTTAAACTTTTATTACGCTCTGAGAACAGGAAGTTCTTTATGTCTTAAATGAATATATGTTTTACAATTTAGGTCACGTTCAGACGCCGTACTTTAAGGCCATAAAGTAAAACAAACGAAAAAATAGCGAGCAACCTAAAAACTGCTACACATTGAGTCGAACTGTATAAAGTTCTGAAGATAATTTTTCCGCCGTCGATTTCGCAGTTGATTCCGTTTGCCAATATCTAGTCTCATTCCAGTCTTGCAAGTTGAAAGGGTTAATCGAATCAAAACTGGGTTAACAGTAAAAAAACTGAATTGAAGATCGATCTCAAAATTTGTCTGTCACTTCCACCCCTATGACAGCTCTTATCAGATCAATTAAGTTTTGTGTACGTTCGACGTTTTATTTGATATTTTCTGGTTTTGTTTCACTATCGTTCCTTTTCCTTCCTTTTTTTGACATTTAAATCAGGAGATCGTCCGCATTGAAAAAGAGAAGTTCAATAGAAGGAAAACTATATCTAAATCAAAAAGGTTTACTGCTCGTGGACTCGACGGCAATCGAACCTTATATTCCGCAACTTAAATGTTATGCTATGTTAAACATCGTTTCAACATTTCATATGCAATCGTGAAAATACTTTTCTTAAAATCAACACTAAAATAAATTTGAACGGTTTTACCTTTTGGGTAGCCAATCTCTCAATAAAATAAGTCAATAGGAAAGTTAAAGATTTGATAGAGCAATATTGCTCGACATTTCATATCCCATATAAACCGTTTTTCTGTGTTGAAGGTAATAAACTTCATGTGGTATCAAAATTTTCGTGCAATCCATTCCTCTTGGTAGCTTCTCAACTGATTTCCATCGATTGTCTTTTCTGATACACCTACTCTATTTTATGGCGAATAGGTCATGAGGTTCGGGAAAAAAGCTAATGATTTTGTTTTGGCAGAAATACTGGATAACTTCTCGGCGGAGATGCCTTTTGTAATTCGTTTTTTTTTTTTTTTTCAAACCAAAATCGACGAAAACAATGACCTTACCAGCTCAGTTCAGGGGAACATGACATGGGAAAGATCAGTGTAAACATCGGGTTATGTTGTCAGAAAATGAAATATTGCCCGTCGAATCCATGAAATAACCCGAACCAAAATCCAGGAGTAAATAAAAGAGTTTTCGACCGCACTTGTACAATTCAAAATAGAAAGGATTATGGAAAAGGAAGCATGAAGAATGCGTTACCGACCTTAAGTTTTGGGCTGTAGAAATGGTTACAAGAGAGATCAAAATGCGCATGAATTTCAAGGTTTGAATATGAATGATTTGAAATCTTGCGTTGGCCTGACTAAATCCATTTGGGGTGAGAAACATAAAGGACAAACATAAATTTTAACTTAGATCTTTCTTACCTCAAATCCCGGAACACCAAGTATAAATTGGAAAGATGAAACCGAAAAAAATGATAGGCTGTCCTTTAGCGGAACCAAAGGAACCTGCTAAAAGTGTTTACTAAATTCTGGCAGGCCGTGTAAATACGGTTTCGGAAGGCAAATAGATGATATCCGCACATATCTTTTTTAGAATTTCCAGAAAGTAAACTTTTTGCTTACAAGAGAGATTATCTGAAGAAGCCAGGAATGGACTTCAAATTTGGAAATTACCGAAAGCTTCATAAAAACCCTACCTTGTGTGACTTTTTTGCAAAGGTAATTTATCTTCTGCGAGGGTAAAAGAAGTGCAAGTTGCCTTCTAGTGTCTAACTCACAAAATGACATGAGATCCATGTGTCAAATATTGAAATACAGTCATCATAAACTAAGAACTATTTGCATTTACTGTTTCTTCACCTGCGGCAAATCCTTAGCGAATTCAAATAAAACGTTCGATGAAAGACGAGACAGATGAAAGAACTTTTTTCATATATATCATCTGGAAGGAAAGCAAATTGACACAAGTGCTCGTTCAGCCAGCTAGCACTCGCAAAGTAGAAAAGAAAACAAGACCAACTTTACTTGGGAGTGAATTATGGAAAACATACTTTTTTTTAATAATTCAGTTCGAGATGTGAGTGCAATTGCAATTTTACTTAAGAGACTAAAGAGACATGAATTAATCAAGATCAGCAGCTGGGTAAAGTACCTCATTGAAAAACCCACCTCAAAGTGCACAGTTTCAGTTTCTTCAAATGCGCACTTTTACTGAGTTTCGTAGGGTGGTCACTTAGTTTTTTAATGTGCGTTCTTTACTTTTCTAAAAATTAAAATTTTAAGAAACTTAAGTGCGCAATTAAGTCTGTGAATGATCCGAGTTACAAAAGACAATTTCATGCAATTTAAAGCTACATGAACCTCTACAAATAAATAGGTAATTTTGTTTAATTTTAAGATTTTAAGTGCCTTTGCACACCTGCTGATATTGAACCACAAAACCACTTCGTAGAGTAGCTGTTTTTCGATTTAACCATTAAGCTCAGTTAGGCATTATACACACTTAATTACTGGTCCCAAGGAAAACGAATAGTTTTGTTTTCCCGAGAATCTCGATGTTTCCAGAGACGAAGACGAAAGGAGTATCGAGATTCTAGGGGAAGCAAAACTACCCGTTTCCCAAGAGACCAGAAATTTAGTGTTTTATTATATGGCTGCAGTTTAGAGTAAATTAATAAGGTCAAAAGACGTCAAAATAGCCTCGGTTGGTCGAGGGGACATTTCAAGTTAGTCATTGCCACGTGACCATGAATAAACCTATAAGGGCTTGCGTTAATTATATTGAACTTTACTCCAGCTATTTAATAGGATAGGAATAGGATAGGAAGCCTTCATTTCAACACGATGAGTTTTAAAGCTAAAAGCTTGTGGGGTCGTGTATAAAATAAAAGAAAGACCTAATAACAATGTAAGAATAAGTAAAAATTTTAAAACTAGTAACCTTATAAGAACCTGATCTATATGGTGATTCTCAAAAAAATCCAAAAAGAACAAAATAATATTCATCCCTTTTATTTCGTTAATAAACTACGATTTTTCATAAGCTGGTTTTAGTAGGAGGAAATGGAAGTTACAGAAACCACCGAGTTACCCAATATAAACTTCCGACTATTGTGAACTTCGTAAGCGCACAATCTCATTTTCAAAGCAATTAAAAAACCTCTTCCTCAAGGCACACAAATTAGTAATTCTAACATTCTGTTCTTTCCAGGACAAGATCTGTTTACACATCTCATAAAAGAAATAAGAGCATAAAATGAAACTTGATTAGTTTACTTTTTTGGCTTTTGTCATCAATTGTCAAAAGAAAGGAGTGTTAACTCTATCTAATATACTAATTCCAAATTCTATAAAATAGGTTATAGCCAACATGACCTATGTACTTTTTGCAAATCGCATCCAGAAAAGTTGAATCATTTCCTATGTAGCTATCGTTGTTCTAAAGCTTTCTGGGGAGATTTTGAATTGTTTTGGTTTTCTGGTACTCAAAAGACAATTAATCTTACTCAGCAAGACATTATAGTTGGTGTGCTATCAAGATAGTACCCTTTACCTAACTATTTTCTTCGTATTGCTACAATTTACTTATGGAATTGTAGAAGAAACCATATACTCATCCAAATATCAACGGTTTTAAAGCTAAAATTTTAATCAAATATGAAACAGAAATCTATATTGGACGTATCAATAAAAAGATGGACTTTTTGAGGGCGAAATGGACGAACTCACAATTTAGCTTGTTTCAGCTTCTCCGTTAACAATGTAATGTTAATAAGCAATATTGTAATGTAAAATGGAATGTTAGTGATAGTTAGGAACTAACATATTGTTATATTTTGTCTTTCGCTTCTATGTACTGTAATTTAGTGGTGTAGGTAGGAAATAAGATATGTAATTGTGTGTTCTGCAATTGAATAAATAAATATAAATTTAAGGTAAACAAAAAGAAAAAAAAGTTATGCAAATTGTATTACTGTAAGTAGCACCTGTAATTGCGTTGTATTGTAAGTAGTGTAAGTAGTGCATAAGTAATCTTCACAAATTTTCCTGAAGTTTCTGCCTGAAAGATTTACACTGAACTAAATTGCCAAATTGTTGCAAGCGACTCTTTGTTGTAGAAACTTTCGTCGCATTCTCTATAAAAAAAGCTCTCGAATTGCTTCTGCTAGATTTCTCAAACTC